AAGCGGAGGGGCCGCCCTTGACTTCGTCTTGGGTCCCCGAGTCGCTGTGGGGGCTTCGGCGGGGGCAGTGCTGTGCTCTGCAGTCTCTGAGGGCAGCGTCTGTGCTGCGGGTGTGACCTGGTGCTGGTTGTCCTTCAGTGGAGTCGTTTGGTGCCGCGTCTTCACCAAGGATGCTGGCTGTGAGTCTCCTGTGCTGGGGCAAGATGCCTTCCCCTGGGGGCGCCTGTGTGGTTTCTGCCCGACGTGGCCACTGTTCCCGGAGGTCCCGGGCGAGGGCCTGTGGGTGCAGCAGGGCAAGTGCTCAGGGGTCTCGTGCCAAGCTCTGACGGGGCCGTGGCATGACCAGGACAGCCTGCACGGGCTGGGGCTCACACGCCGCCATTCACCCTCCCACGTGGAGGGCCTGGGGTGTTTTGCGGAGGGGCTGGGGAATCCCCGAGAATGCTCCTGGGTGTGCGGTGCTCCATGCCGGGGTCCCCCTCTGCTCCACCAGAGGTCGGCCCTGGACGGCTGCGGCTGCAGGAGGGGCCGGTGGCTGCTGCGGGGTGTAGCGCTGGCTCCTGCTTCTCTCTTCCCGGGCTGCCTCCCCTCTAGGGTCCAGCACGGGCGGGGCAGGGGCCTACCAAAGGCAGAAGGGGCTTCCGGGACGAGCTCCTGGCGTGCCCTGGCCCTTCTGCTCCCACCGTGTCCTCATCCCTCGGGGTCCCTGGTGAGGCTGGCGCGGTCCCTGCAGCCGTGGGTCTCGGTGACTCTTCCTGCTGGGTCTTTATCTATGTCACCATTTGCTCCGATTGTAACTAATTGGACACGTACTGCAGCTTCGTGGCATCTAATTTTCTGTTGATTTTAACGGGGCTGCTGGTGTTTTCGGCAGAGATTGCCGGCAACTAGTATCTGTCGCTGCTTAAAAATGCTGAGCGCACTTCCCTGTGCGGGCCGCCTTCGAGGCAGATGTTTTAAAACCTGCTTAATTGCTGGGTTCATAAAAGGCAGCAGCGGAGGAGTGGCAGCCTCACTGTCTGTAGCCCTGGAGCAGAGAGAGGCAGGAGGGCCCAGAGTGGGTTCTCTGGAGAATCCACACCCCGGCTCCAACCCCGGTCCTGCTGTCCCGGCCAACGGTAAATTCACCAGAAACACTTGGGCCACCTCTCTGCCAGGCCTGGGCACCCCAGGGGTCACAGAGGGCCCAGCCAGGAGCTGCCCCTCCCTTGGTGAGCCTGCCTTTTCTCGGGGAACACAGGACTCCCCACTCAATGAGGAAGGCCGAGTGGCAGCTGGTCCCAGAGAATGCCAGGCAGGGCTAGCCCGCTCCTACACGAGGCCCCTGGCGTCCTGGGGCCGGGAGATCTGAGGCCTGAGAGCCAAGGGTGGTGGCTGTGAAGAGGGGCTGCGTGGGGCTTGGCAGGAAGGGAGCCCGTGCCTGGGGTGGGGGTGGGTAAGCGCCGAGGCGGGGGAACGTTGGGGGCGTCTGGGAGGGGTGAGCTCTGTGAAGCACCTGATCTTTGAGCCATGCGGCCCTTTGGGAGGTTTTGGGGCTCGTGGGATGTTGGCTTCTTGGCCTTTTTCAGAGAGAAAAGAAAAACTACAAGGAAGTTGAGGAGCCTCAGGGCCTCCCGTGGCAGCCCTCGCGCCATGCTGGTGAGACCCCAGTGTTCCGACGGGAAGGGGCTAGAGGGTCTGCCAGCAAGTGGAAGCTGCCGCTGGAGGGAGCCAAGCAGAACAGGGGGTGCCCAGGTCCGCGGGGTCCCTGACGTCCTGGCCAAGGGATGGAGCCGGCTGGGGCGCGTCCCAAGAACTTGAGCTGTGGGCTGTTCCTTCACATGTGAAAGCAAACGTGCCATCACCCCCTTGGCGAAGGACCGGAAGCCACCCCTAGGCCAGGCCACGGGGGTGAGAGTACCAGAGGCTGGCGGCCACCGCCGGGGCAGCAGGAAGAGGAGCTGACGCTGCTGTGAGCCCGTCCTAGGAGCATGGGGTGTGCGGGAGGAGATGGCGGCCCTGCGTCCGGCCGCTGGGTGTCTGCTCACCGCTCACGCCCGGGACCGCGACAGCTGTGACGCCAAGCCTGACGCCTCATCTGAGGCCCCGGTGCCTCGCTGTGGGGTCCTGCTGCCAGAGCCCTGCGGCCTTTCGGGGGAAATGACCAGTCTGTTTGGTCTGTTGATCGGCAAATGCCAGACCTCCCAGCTCTGATGGGAAGGAATCGCGGCTGGGACTCGGCCCCCGGCTGATCTGGCCTCCTTGGCTTTGACTCCCCGTTGGCCTTGAAGCAGAGGTCCGGCCAGGCCCAGCGTGGACCACCATTTCCTCCGAAGCCATGAGGCCATCTGGGGACTGTGCCGGGACAGCCCCCGCAGGACGGGGGAGTTTGTTGCAAATATCTGTTTGGGCAAATATCTGTTTGTTTGGGGGAAATTTCCCCAAGTCTGAGCAGAAATCAAAGAGCATTCACAGGAGTCAGGGGCGTGAAACAGCAGGAGGAAGGCCGAACCCTCCAGGAAGGCAGCGATGCCCACCCCACCCCAGCGCCTGGTGGCTGCCCTGAGACAGGATTTGGGAGTGACCCGTCCGAGGGTGACAGCATTCGGGGTGCCCTTCCTGGGCCCCACCGTGGCGGTGGAGGGCTGAGGGCCAGATTCAACGGGAGTGGAGTCTACTCCGCTCATCAGATCCGCTGCTGCGTGAGGACTACTGACGGGCGATAAGGGGGTAAGTTGGTGCTGGCTCGAGGTCTTCCAGCTGTCCTCGCTCAGGGCCGGGGGCTGGGCTCTGCAAGCCTTGGGTCTGCCCCGCGCCCTCGGTGTTCCCCAAGTAAGGAGGAGAGAGGTTTGTGGCGTGTGGGCTGGTGGCCTGGAAGCCACTTCGTTGTGGGATGCGAGGCCGAAGAGGCCCGGGCCCAGCCCCGACTTACTAAGGACTTTGGGGTGGCGACCCTGCAGTGTGGCACAGATCTTTCTGGAGGGCACCGCGGCAAAGACAGCCAGGGAAGGCAGCTATAGACGAGTCACAGCAGGCCTGGCAGGGGCTGGGGTGAGGGTCGTCCACAGGGGCCTTGGAGGGTGGGCATGGTGCTGGGTGACCGTCCTGCCTCCTGAGGGTCTTGAGCTTCTGTCCCTGCAGCATCAGGAGTGGAGAGAGAGGCCAGAGGACAGGCAGCTGGCACAGACCCTGGTGTACAGCTCCCGCTCTGCCAACCTGGTGGGCAGGGAGCAAGTGCCGTCACCTCGTGCTGCCCGGGACAGCCTGACACACACACAGGCACCACCTCCCCAGTCCTGCCGGAGACACTCTCTCCTACCTGTCATGATTCCTGATAAATGGGGACTGCAGGGAGACTCATTTTACAAAAGGGAACTTGCTCCTGAGTCACTGAGGGTGATGGGCGTGGGGGACGCAGGGGCCAGGGAGGGTGGTGAGTGTGCACGCTGGGCCTGCGTCCTCACAGTTCCCTTGGGCTGGGAACTGCCCCTCGGTGAGAGGCGGGCAGGGCGGCAGGTCTGGGTCAGGGGGCCCAGGGTCAGGCCAGGGAGGCCCCATCGGGCTGTCTTCCCGCCACCACGCAAAGTGGGCATTCCTGAGATCTTCCTTCCCTGCCCACCCAGGGACACCACGTGGGGTCAGAGTCCATTCCGCCCCACCCAGGCCACAGCAAACCAGGCAGGAGGGGCCCCGGGTGGGCTGCCCCATGGTCAGCCAGAGCCCAAGGCCGACTGGGAGGGTCTGCCCTGCCTCTGCTCCAGCCACGAGTGTGGTCTGGATGGAATCTGCAGGGGAATAAGGGCCTCAAACCTAGAAGCCCCCGTACCCACAGGTGGGAGCCCCCTGGGGCAAGGCCCGGTGGTCTGAGCTGTGCCCCACGGCTGAGGCTAGTGCCGGGGGCAGCGGGTACTTGGGGAAACCAGGGCTGTGGAGGAATCAGGGACGGTAAGAGGCAGAGGCCAGTGGGTGCAATCCCAGAGCACAGAGGCCACCTGGCACCCCCGACCCTCCCCAGACCCCTGAGGGTCCCCATGGGGGATCCCGGGCTGAGCAGAGAGCGTTGAGTTGCGCGTGAGTGGGTGTGTGTGTCTGTGCGTGTCTCAGTACGCATGTGTGTCGGGGTGTGTGGCCCATCACACCAGTCCCCACAGAGCTGGAGGGAAACTGTGGGCGGGAGCCCTCCGGGAGGCGGGTGAAGGGCCTGATGCCGGCCGCGAAGCCCCATCTCCGTCTGGACGTCCGCCTGGCAGAGCCGCCTTCTTCACTGACGCTGCTGTTCCTCGGATCTGGGAGCCAAATGCTTTGCTAGAGCTGGTAAAATGGAACCAAATCGACCGTCCAATGGATTTGGTCCCCTTCAACCAGCTGCAGCTGTGCATTGAGGGCGCCACGCGGCCCGGCGGCAGGTCCCACCGCCACGGAGAGGAGCCGGCAGGCAGCGGGAGAGCCCGGCTCGGCGCGTGCTCAGCTCCAAGTAAGCAAGGCCCCGAGTGCTGCCCGCCCGGGACGCCTCAGTGCGGAGCCCGGAGCCTGAGAGTGGGTGGCTGAGGAACGGGCTCACCCCACAACTGGGGTGGCTGCCCCGCCTGGCCGTCCTCGCCAGGGCACTGGGAAACCAACGTTCATCGCTCGCACTAGAGCTTTGCTTCAAGATGTGGGCTCAGGAGCTCCACTCCGTGGGCTGCGCCTCCTGGGGGCCTGCGCCAGCCCGGCCTGTCCTCTTCCCAAGGAGCCTCCCGCGATTTCTCCTTTAAAATGGCCTGGACTCTAAGGACGCCCTTAGGGCCCCTCGGAGGTGAGCATGGATGCTGCACTGGTGGCCTTAGGGACCTGGGGGTCTCTGCGTCCTCACTGGGAGGCCTGGGCCGGTGGCCTCTCTCCAGATGGCCTGAGGGGTGCTGGGCCTGACAGAGACCACCACACAGGAACCCTTCCGTGTGGCCCCTGGCTGGGGAGGTGCCCGTAAAGGTTGCTGGGGTCCCAGGGCTCCCCACCTCGCCACCCTGTTGCCCCCTGCAGTGCCCTCCGCCTGCAGGGAAGCCGGGCCACCAGCAGGCACAGCTGCTGTGAGCAGGGATCTGCGAGGGGCTGCAGGCCGGGTACACCGTGGACCCGCTGGGGGGTCCTGACCACGTGTCCCTTCCTGGGCAGGGTCTGGCATGAAGGGGGTCAGGCTGCTGGGTGCTGGCAGATCTGAGGCCTGGGAAGGTCCGGGGGGCCTGCTGGGCATCTCTAGGCCTGGGGTTCCAGGGCCTGCCAGGAGTGACCGCTGACTTCTGCCCAGAGTGGCAGGGGTGAGGCCTCCCATCAGAGGCCACCAGCTGCCAGCCCCAGGGCAGGTGAGGCTGAGGGTCAGGACCCTGGAGGGAAGAGAAGAGGGAAGGGGCGTGGGGGGCAGATGGGCAGGCACCACACGGACGGACGAGTGGAAGGCCAGGTCTGAGGATGGTGGCTCCCCTGGCCTGGCTCAGGGAGTTGGAGCACACGCCTCACACCCCGCCCAGCCTCAATGACTAATTCCCGGGGTTGGCTTAGCCCTGCCCCGGCACGGTGTTGCCGCCCCTCTTCACACAGAGTCACTATGTCCCCAGACCGTGGGAGAGGCACGGAGGCTGGTGCCGTGGATGGCAGCCCCGTCTTCAGCACGGGGGCGGGCTGGGCTTTGAGGATCCAGGGGCTTGGCTCCTGAAGGGCTTTATTCGAGCCTGAGTGGAGCACCGAGTGGTCAGCCCCTGCTGGGGGTCTTGGCCAGGCGCGGGCTCCCAGGAGCCTCTGGGACCTTCCGCTACTGAGCCCTTTACAGAGGGCAGCCGAGTGTCCTGGGAATGGCCGTGCCTGGGTCCACAACTTTCAGGGTGGCCTGACCCCAACCCCACCAACTCCAAGCTGTGTGGTGCTGGGTACTGGCCTCCACTGCGGTCTGCCAGGGACGTCTGTCCGTCAGGTGAGATCTTGGAGATCCACCCAGCTGAGGACCTGGTCGGCTGCCCACAACCTTCCCTCCCACCTGAAGGGCGGGGTGCAACAGCTTGAGGTCCTGTGTCAAATGCATCGCCTGGGTGAGGACTCGGAGCCGCACCCGGGCCTGTGGGAGGGTTTTGTGCAAACATCATGCCCAGAACAGTGTCTGCTGTTGACCCAGCGCCCACCAGGGAAGGCTGGAGCCATCGGAGTCCCTTCCAATGCAGGCTGGGGTTCCTGTCGGTCACCACACCAGCCGTGAACAGGGACGCCTGCTCGCGTTGCCCGCCTGGCCCTTCCTCGCCACCCACGCCCCTGCCAGCCTGACTGTCTGGCACTGACACCTGCTGAGGGCAGCGGCGCAGCTGCAGAGAGCCCACAGCTGCGAGGGAGCTGCCCTGGCAGTCAGGGCCTCGGGGCACCGAGGAGGGCAGCAGGGAAGGAGGGTCACATGGGCTCCAACCCAGCCAGCCGAGCCCAGGGCCCCTGCTCTCAGCCCCCCCCACCCGTCTCTCCTGTAAATTAAAGAATGAGATGAGGCTGAGACTATCTCCCTGCTCCACCGTGGGCTCGGTGTCAGCTCCGGGATGACTGTAGGACGTTGTGGCTGTTTGCTGGCCCACCCACCCCGGGCATCTTTGTGGAGGCCCCAGTGGAAACCACTGCACCCACCTTGCCAAATCCACGATGGGGCTCGTCCATGAAATCATGGGTCAGCCCCGCACCAGGCTACACACAGTGTGGACGGGCAGGGGACGTGGGTGGAACGAGGGAACACCTGGAAGCAGCCCCCACACCTGCCTGGCCGGGCACGAGGAGGCAGCCCCGGGCAATGCGTGACCTCGGCCGGGTGGTCAAAACTATTGGCAGACCCTGGAATCTGAATACTGTGTCATTTTCATGGGTCACAAAAAGGGTCTTTTGATTTCTTCCCCCATCATTAAAAAGGTGACCGCTGTCTGGAGCTCTCAGGGCCAGTCTGAAAGCAGGCGGCGGGGGGATTTGGCCCTGGCTGCAGCTGCCACCTGCAGGCTAGATTAAGAGGGTAAAGGAGCCACAGGCACCATGCACACAGGGCTGGGGACACGGGGGGTCGCGGGCGGCCACTACTCTTCCCACTGCTTGCTGCTCGTGTGGTCAGTGTGCAGGCAGAGGCTCCGGCGCGGCCCCTGCGTTCACAGCGGTGCGGCTGGCATGAAGAGCCCGGCCTGCCCAGCAAGAGAGAAAACCCAGGAGGAGGTGGCCAGGGCAGGACAGAGCCTCCAGGTGTGGGTGGGGCCATCTTCTGTCTCATCCCCCGCCCCCCGCAGCCTCGTGGCTTTGGGCTGAACTGGCCCCCAGCAGGTGCCTGTCTCTGGAGCAGGTGCCCACTGGGAACAGGGCCCGGCCAAGCCAAGACTGTTCCCCAGGGTCAAGGAAGTGGGGTCAGGGACAGGGACACAGCTCACCCTGGGGGACCACAGTTTCGGATCCCAGGATCCCAGCAACCGGGGGTCGGGGTGCACAGGAGCCAGCTCTGCCAGGCTGGGCATGCCGCTGAGTGCCTGGGCATCAGAGAGGGCAAGGCGCTCACCAGTCACACAGCTGGCCCCGGCCAGGCTCCGAGCAGGACGGGAATGCAGGGCTGTGTGTCCCGGCTGTGCCTTCCATGCAGCCAGCTGAGTCTGGAGGGCTGCTGCCTTCAGTGCCTGCTCCTGCTCTCCATGCTTGGCTGTGCGTTTACCTGCGTGGGGGCCCCTGGAGCATCCTGCCTTAGGATGCTAAAGTGGGGAGGGGGCAGGGGAAGCGGGGCCATGCTGGGTAAGGGGGCTTTTTGTTTCCTGGGGCTCTGCTATCTGTCTTCTCATCTCCCTGGGAGAGGTGAGAATGCAGACCTGAGTGAGCAGTGGACATTGCCAGGTCAGTGACCAGTGAGAGGGTCTGAGCGTCCAGTGCTGAGAGAAAGCCTCTCCCTGCCGGATACAAAGGTGACAGTCCCTGTGACAGTGGAGCTGGCCCATCCCAACCTCGGCGGGGAGCTACAGGTCCTGGGTCCCGGATCCCTGTAAGAAAAGTCCGAGAGCTCACTAGACATGCAGATTCCAGGCCCCATACCCCACCCCCACCCGTCAGGGCCTCCAGGGCAAGGGCCTGGGAACCTGAATTTTTACCGAGTGTGTTTGGTGAGTCTTACGAACAAGCCACGTCAGCCTGGCGCCCCTGATGCCCGCCGGCCCCGCACCTGCCCCACGTGCACCTTGCTCATGTTCCTCCTTCTGCCCTGCCCCTCAACAGGCTGTCTCCTCCGAAAAGCCCCGGGCCCCTCGGCGGCAGGTCTCTGCCCTGCAGACTCTCGCCGTGGCACACACTCAGCACCTGCTGGCCACAGGGGCTCCCTGTGGAATCTCCCCTCTCCCCGCAGCCTTGGGTGGAGGGCGGGAGGTGGGCACAGTTGCCCAAATGTCAACAGATGAAGTAACGCCTGTGCGTCTCCTTGTTCCAGGAGAAGTGTGTTGACCACAAATAAGCAGAAAGACAGTTAAACTCCACCACCCCAGCCGGCCCCTGGTGAGGAGCCGGCACTTCCTTCCCGTCTCTTTTACCGAATCTTTTTTCCATACGTACCTCAGTTCACCCCTCCCACCCCCACAGCGCACACTAAGGCGGTGGCCACAGGGCGGATAAACCTGGGGCCCCTACTGTATCCTGAGTGGCTCTGTCAATCTTCCTGCCTGAGGTTCTGGGGTCAATGCGGTGCCAACATGCCATCTACGACCAGTGTGGGCGACCTCGCTGCCCTCCGCGACCAGTGCGGCGACCACGCTGCCCTCCGCGACCAGTGCCGACGACCACGCTGCCCTCCGCGACCAGTGCCGGCGACCTCGCTGCCCTCCGCGACCAGTGCCGGCGACCACGCTGCCCTCCGCGACCAGTGCCGGCGACCACGCTGCCCTCCGCGACCAGTGCCGGCGACCTCGCTGCCGTCCGCGACCAGTGCCGGCGACCACGCTGCCCTCCGCGACCAGTGCCGGCGACCTCGCTGCCCTCCACGACCAGTGCCGGCGACCACGCTGCCCTCCGCGACCAGTGCCGGCGACCTCGCTGCCCTCCGCGACCAGTGCCGGCGACCTCGCTGCCCTCCGCGACCAGTGCCGGCGACCTCGCTGCCCTCCGCGACCAGTGCCGGCGACCTCGCTGCCCTCCGCGACCAGTGCCGGCGACCACGCTGCCCTCCGTGACCAGTGCGGTGACCTTGCTGCCGTCCACAAACACTCCTGAGCCGAGCCCTGGGGATGCATTCTCCACACTCTGCTGGCTCTGACAGGTGTGGGGTCCTGTGGCTTCACCAAAAACATCCTGACTTCCTTCCTCCTGAGCCTGGGATGGAGGCGAAGGCCTGAGCAGTCTCCCGTGGGTCACCCACCGCCCCCATTGTGCCCACTGCACCTGCCGCACTCGCCACGTCCCTCACCCCACCTCGGCTCCCGTCCCTCTGCAGGACCTGCTTCCCTCTGCTCTGACCGTCTCCTGCCCCAGCGCCCTGTCGCTCCTCAGGTCCTGCTGACCGGGCAGCCTCTGGTCCGCAGCACGGCACACGGGTCACTGCACGCTGGGCTGTGGGGTCACGTGTCTCGGTCGTCCCTCCCAGCCCCTTGTTCCGTGTGCCTGGCCTGGGACTCCCTCCAGGCGTATTTGTGGACGAAGCCAGAGAACGGGTGCAGGGTGCGGACAAGCCCCAAGGGCCTGCACAGGAAGTGGGGTCCCGGGCAGAATGGCCAATGGGGCCTCCCAAGTTTCAGAGGCAACCTGTGATCTGGGGGCTTTGGAAACTCTTGAGGACAAGGAACAATGACCTGTGTGGGAAGGAGGATTCCAGATCCCCACTCTGCTTCGTCCAGTGGGAGACCCCCGGGCCACAGCCTGGGTTTGTGTATTTCAGTCCTGGCTCTTGAGCCCTTATAAAAGAGACCCTGCTCCCACCCGGCCCCTCCGGCCCCTGCTTCCTCTCTCTTCCATGTCCACTTGCCCCAGCGTGCTGGGGGCGGGGCTGGTGCTCTGGGACAGGAATTCTCGTCCTGGCTCCCGCCCGGAGTGTTTCTCTCCTGCAAGTCAGCCCTGCAATGTCCATTACTCGAAAAGAAAAGGAAAATGCTCATTGGAAAGAAATTCTTCTCTCTGGCAATGCTGACACATTCTCCTAGCCCCAGCCCCACAGAGCTCCAGCGTGTGACAGACAAGAGCTGACGGGGACGTTCCACACGTCCGTCCTAACCAGGGCTGGAGGCGATGCTTGTCTGTGCGGCTGGGAAAGCCTCCTCCTTGTGGCGGAGCCACTGCTGAAGGGGCTCCACCTGGCACTTGTCCCACCAAAGGCCCCTGAACGGGCCTCCAGGCCCACCCTTAATAAAGATGTGCTGCTCATCCTCAGTTCCAAACCTTGTTTATCCCTCGTCCCTGACCCCCCTGTGTGTTCTGGGGGAGATCCCTCCACTGCCAGACAAAGACTTCAGAACGACGGCAGTCATCCCATCGAGTGCCAGCTGCGTCTGTGTGAGCTTCTGCTTCTGTCAGTGCCCCTCTGGCTCAGCCCAGTGCCCAGCACTTACAGCTGGGACACACACACACACACACACACACACACACACACTCTCCGCCCCGTACATGGGCACATCGTGCACACAGGCTTACATGCACACCCACCCACACATGTGCAAACACGCACATAGAGGCACACATTGTCACACAAGTGCACATACACTGCACACACGGGCACACCCGCACACATGCTGACACATGCACTTACCTGCCCATTCCCACACACGCACACGCAGGCACACCCCTCCACACGCATGCATGCACCGCTTCTCACAGATGCACAAGGCAGTGCAGGCACTCATGTATGTACGCATGAGCACACACACAGGCACGCACACACAGGCCCACACCCACACATACACCACACACGCATAGGCACACGTGCACACACTCACGTGCACACGCTTTCCCAGCCCCCCAGCACACAATCACAGGTGAGACCGCCCGTCGGGAGAATTAGGGGCCAACAGAGGGTTCCGTCAGCAGATGCACGCAGTTTGGGGAAGGGGTTGGCTGCCAGCTGAGGCAGAGGGCAGAGTCTGAGTGAGGGAGGGGGCAGGGGAAAGGGTGGGAGGTGGCTGAGGGAGCTTCCCAGAGAAGCTCAGAATGAGGCAGTCACATGGGGGGTTGTTTGTGCAAACGCTGCGCTTCCCCCTCCCCCTACCTCTGTCGACGTTCCTGTAGACAGGAAGTGGGGTGGGGCCTGTGGGGAGGTGGGGCCTGTAGGGAGGTGGGGCCTGTGGGAAGGCGGGGCCTATGAGAAGGCAGGACCTATGAGAAGGACGGGACCCATGAGAAGGCGGGGCCTGTCAGGGGGCGGGGCCTGTGGGGAGGCCGAACCTGTGAAGAGGCGGGGCCTGTCGGGAGGCGGGGCCACTGGGGAGGCGGGATCTGTGAGGAGGCGGGGCCTGTGGGGGAGGCAGGGCCTGTGGGGAGGCGGGGCCTGTGGGGAGGCGGGGCCTGTGGGAAGTTTGGAGTCTCCCTAAAGTGAAGAAAAACCCTCCTGGGGAATGCAGGGAGTGTCTTCCTTTGTCCTTTGAGGTTATCTTGATTGTCATTTGCTTACAACAATGTGCAGGCCGGGTGCACTCAGGACGCTGGCAGGGCAGTGTTGAGTGACGTCCATGCTACTGACGCCCGCTGGGGGTCTGTGCCCAGCCACACTGTGCTGGTAGCTGGAGGTGTGGGGACAGGTCAGACCCAGACCTGCCCCGTTTGTTCCACAGACCAGCAGCACTGCAAGCCAGACGCGGCTCCAAGTTCACCTGAAGTCCGTCCCTCCCCTGAGCAGCCAGAGGAGCAGGTCCTGCTGCGGTTTTCTCCACTCTGCAGATGGGGAGACTGAGGCACAGGGTGATCAGACGCAAGTCACCCCGCCAGTGAGGAGAGGAGGCTGAATCCCACCCAGGGTGTAGAAATGCTGAGCCTGGTGGTAACTCCTGGCCCAAAGGCCCCTGTGCCGAGCGCCCGGGCCCTGGGGCAGCAGCCACATTCTGGATGACTTTATAAAAACAGTTTGTGCCCCTCAAAGTGGGCGCCTGGCTTCATAAGTTATGCTGCAGAACAACTCCATGCCCACCGTGGAGGCCAAACCTGGACCTGTGCCATCTCCTCCAGACACCCCACCGCCTCGTCCCCACCCCAAAGGAACCAGCGCCCTTGCGTTTGTAGGAGTCACTTCCCTGTGTTTACCTCCCTGAATTCTGTGGTGTAGCTTTGCCTAAATTTTTTTTTTTTTTTGAGGCAGAATCTTGGTCCATCACCCAGGCTGGAGTGCAGTGGCACAATCCCAGCTTACTGCAACCTCCGCCTCCTGGGTTCAAGCGATTCTCATGCTTCAGCCTCCTGAGTAGCTGGGATTACAGGTACATGCCACCACACCTGGCTAATTTTTGTATTTTTAGGAGAGACAGGGTTTCACCATGTTGGCCAGGCTGGTCTCAAACTCTGGACCTCAGGCAATCCACCCACCTTGGCTTCCTAAAGTGCTGGGATTACAGGTGTGAGCCACGTGTACCCGGCCAGCTTTGCCTAACTTTTTATAATAACTTGATTTTAAAAGTGTTTCAAGTCTGTTTCAGTCTGCAAGTCTCCTATTGCGCTCTTTTTTTTTTTTTTTTTTTTTTTAATAACATGTCTGTTGAAGGACCCAGTGGTCTGGCCTAGGATATTTCCCACATCGAGATTGCTGGTGGCGCCCTTTTGGTGTGGTTCTGTCTGTTCCTCTGCCCTCTGAGCTTCCTGTGTGTTGGTGGCTGGACCCAGAGACTCAGGCTGCATCACCGCAGCAGGACCCCAAGTTCTGTTGTGTCCCCCCATCAGGACACAGGTCAGGGCTGTGCACTCCTGGGGCGGTGGCCAGGCTTGCTCTGTGCCTGAAGACATTAATTGGTTGAGGTTGTGCGATGGTGGTGTCCTGAGTCTGGAAGTTCTTTTTCACTTACTCGTTGGGATACTTTCATGGAAACTCTTCTCCACACAGTCGCATCCCCCGTGTCACCGTCCAGAGGAATCAGGATGAAGACACAAATCTTCTCCCGCAGCCGCTGCTTTTCAGGAACATGCGCTGGGTCCCCGGAGCCCTCCGGAGGGTCGGCTTATTCAGTACCACTGTGCATGCAGACCCCTTTCCAGTGGGAACTGTGCACAGCATGGAAGGGACGCAGAGGTTCCTGCTGCACCGGAAGCCTTACGGAGCAGCGGAGGGTTTTGCAGAACTGAAGAGCAGGTGCCCGAGGAAGGAGTTTTTACCAGAAAGATGCTTTGAAAGCCACTGGAGAAGCTGAGTTATGACATAGCTTTGCACCACTACAAGGAATACAGATCCCAGAGCTGGGAACCGAGTCACTGTCATGCCAGGAGAGCAGCACTTTGTATGAACCTGGGAGCCCACAGTGGCCTAGCCATCAGGGTCCCTGGTGTGACCTTGCCATTGGAAGCAGAGGGGTCCCCGGTGTGACCTGGCCGTTGGGAGCAGAGGGGCCCTTGGAGTGGGCTTGAAGCTTCTTCACCTTCACTGCGCCTTGGGGGGCACCTCTGTGCATTTCAGCAAGGCTTCAGTGAGCATGTGGAGGACAGTGGAAGCAGACGCTGTGCTGTGCAGGGGTCCTGAACATGAAGCTGGCTGAGGAGCAGGCCTCCAGCCATGGCTACGGCCATAGCAACAGGAAGCAGGTTGCCTTGGGGCAGTCTATGACGGTGGGAGCTCCCGGTCCATGCGGCATCATCTGCGGGGAGGGTCTGACTCCTGAGATCTGCGCTGCTGGAAAACCCTTCAACCCACCTCCTGCAGGCTGGACTTCTCTTCTCCACCAGGTGGAATGAAGGAAAAGCCCATTTGTTTTGTAGAAGGCGGCCGGGAAGACCAGACCTGCAGGCTTTCTAGCAGAATGAACTCAGGTCTACACAATGATTTTTGTAATCTGGTCAGTTAGCAAACAGTGACTGCTTTTGAATTTAAAAGAATACGTATCATTGCGCATTGATGAGCTGACACGTGTTTGGTGGGTTTCAGTCCACTGCCGTTCTTACCGTCTCCCAGCGGGGTCTGTCCTGTCTCCGGCCGGGGACGTCCTGTCAGGTTGGTGCTGCGTCCTGCGTGCTCTCTCAGGGTCAGCTTGGTTGTCATGTAATTTACATATAGGAAAATGCACACATTTTAAGTGTCAAGTTTGCAGGGTTTTAACAAATGTTGAGTTTTACACTCATGTAACCACCATCATAACCAAGATCGGGAACATTCCATCAGTTCAGACCTTCCCTCCTGCGCCTTGGCAGCCATCCCCTCCCGTGGCCCAGCAACCGTGGACTGGCCAGCGTGGGTCAGCGCCGCCACAGCGAGGACTTAGGAAATACAGTCCTGCGGCGTGTGGGCCGTGTGCCTGGCGTGTTCCTCCAGCATCGTTTCCTTAAGACTCATCTGCGCTGCTGTGCGTATCTGTCGATTCTGTTCCTTTTCGCTTCTGAGAAGGGCCCCATTCTGTGACACCATCGGCCTGCTGATGGGCATTTGAGGCTCTCAGCCTCCACCAGGCTGCAGTGGGCAGAGGCCCGGTTGCAGGGGCCACGTGGGGCTGGTGGAGTCACTCCTGCTGCACACGGCGGTGCTGGGTTGGCTGGGGATGGAAACTGAGCTCGGAAGATGAATCAATCTGCTCATGTGGCCAAAAGGCCCAGAAATAGGGCTGGATCCAGAGCCGAAACCACGTCATCAGAAATCCTTCTCCATAGCTCGGCTCCACCTTCCCTGGGGCTGGCTTCACCCCCGGCAGGCTGGCTGCAGGCGGAGCAAAGGTGGCCGCCGCGGTTTCAGGCTTATATACCTAATCGGGTGGGACAGAGAGGGAGAAAGAGAGGGAACGGGGGGGGGGAGAGAAAGAGACAGAGAGTGAGAGACAGAGAGAGAAAGGGACAGAGTGAAAGAAAGAGAGAGACAGAGAGGGCGGAAAGAGACAGAGAGACAGAGAGAGAGACAGAGAGTACGTGCGAGAGATATCCATTTCAAGACACCCAGCAAACACCCCAAAGATGGACACTCGCTGGCCAGGCTTGGGTCCCTTGACCACTTGGAGTGGGAGGGTGGGAGGAAACCACCCCCCAGAACTACCCAGGCTCCCTAAACTGAAACCAGGGACCTGAAAAGGAAAGGAGCGGGGAATGCAGGGCAGGCAGAGTGCTGATTCCAGGTCCTGCGCCAGTTTCCAGCGCCACTGTGTGCTGCCCCCACCCCGGCATGGTGGGCCGACTCCCAGGGCCCTGCCATCTCGGTACAGGCTGCTTTCCTGGGCTCTGACTTGACTTTATTTCCAAAAGTAAAAATAGAAACAT